TTCAAACAATGTAATAAAAAAAAAGAAAGGTTTTCTATATTTGTTTTTTTTTTTTCGAAATGAGCAAATGCATTGACCTATTTCAACTAAATTCACACAGAGGAAGATTGTGTACTAAAAAAAAAACAACAAAAGTTTAATCTAAGACTACAAAAAGAGAAGTAATATAAAAGCGACAGAGAAGTTACTACCATTGCAAACATTTTCAGAAAGCCACTTGCCTACACGCTATTGAACGACAGGCTGCACTGTAAAAATGCGGCAAATTTATTGGCACTGTTTTTTTTATCATTCAGGAATGATTTACTTTGAATAACCAGGAATATTCTTTTGGAATATTCAAGACCTTAAATAATCATTCGATTCACACTTAACTCTGAATGGTTCTTTTACGATGATTGTTCAGTTTGTGCCTGAATCCTGATATCTAAATAAATTTCTTTCTGAATTTACCGCGTTTTTACTGGGTCACCTGAAGTTGAATCGACTATCTTACCGTGATTCGATTCTGTCTTGGTGTCCAAAATGTGTATCCCTGTAGCACACTATAGTGATCCTTGTCGATATACTATCATACCGTCATTTACTGTGTCCCGTCAAACGTAGGTGACGATAGTAATTTCATGTTTCGGAGCTCTTAATACAATTAGTCTTTTTTTTCCCTCTTTTTCATAAACCCTGTTCCACCATCCATTTACTCCAGCTCAGTATGTTATTCCTTGTTTTCCTCTGCCCGTCTTGCTTTCAATCTATGCTGTAAGTATCCGATTTTCCAAGCCCTGTTTCCACTTTATGTGCCTTAGAAGTTTCTTCCTGATGTTAAGTATAAGTTTCCTCATTGTTTCCATTTTCCTTAAAACTTTTTCGTCGCTGACATATTCTTTCCATGGAAACATCAGCACCCTTCTGTAGAACGACGTTTTTCTTATTGCAAGTCTCGTATCTACCTTTGAGGAGATTGTCCTGAATTCACTGCCCAGAAGGAGGACAGCTATCACGTGACATTTCGGTACTATTTCCTTTGTTTTTAACGAGGTTCTCATCACTCTGCTTAGCTTTTAGAAAGCATCTTTCGCTATCCAAATCTTCCTTCGGATTTCAGTGTCACAACTTCCGTACTCTATTAAAACGCGCATTCTGGATAAGACGATAAACTACGTCCAACAGAAAGGCCTCTGATCAGGAGGTTTTGAGGAGCGTGGAACAACCTCTTAACTTCTGATGTTCCCAGATCACCCTGACTCAGGGTGGTTGCACCCGTTAGGTTCCCAGCAATGTGTAAATAGTTAACCCCCCCACAAATTGTGGTCAAATCACCATGAAAATGTAAAAATAGTTTTTAATACTAAAATTATTACCAGCAATAAATTTTTGAAGAACAATTATTACCAGCAATACATTATTACCAGCAATACAGTTTTGAAAACAAATATTACCAGCAATATAATTTTTTTAAAAATTAACAGCAATAAAAATTTTGTCGGCTTTAAATAAATCAATATGGTTGATATGCTATAAAACAAACAAGACCAAACCAAACTAAACTGTTAAACTGTTATTTTTTCACTTGTTTGATTTCCGTATCTCCAATCTGCCATTTGCATTTCGGGCTCATTCTTTAATTTACCATTATGCATTCTGTCTTCTTTCAATTGAGGCTTAGTCCTTTCTTCTCGCTTTCCTTCCCTGTCATCTGATAGACTGTTCACTTTCATCATAAAACACTCTTCCCACCTCTGGCAGAAAGCGCATTTGACATGATTCATGCCACTCCAGATTTCACGGTCCTGGGTGGCTCGGTTTAAACTCCCAAGTTTGGTTTGGGTTCATTTGATTACGCTGCAATACCATCTTCTGTGATGGTCTCATCTTTTTCTAGCAATCAGCCCGTAAATGCATATTGTTGACAATTTTCAACTGCTTCGATTGATGTGGATATACAACCTACGATTGTTTTACACTCTATTAATGGAGCTATTGGGATTGTTCAGCTGGGTTTAGGATGGAAAATTATATTCTATGAGAGTGGCAGCTGAAGAGTCAAAGAAACACAAAGACGACACAAAACGTGGTAAACGTAACAACTAATTTAAACCGGAAGCCTTTACAGTCATCACAATCATCATTATTGATGTTGATATAACATCCACAAGGTAATTTATTTTCTTTATTAATATAAAAGGAATCCCTTTAATATAAAGGAATATTAATATTCCTAACTTAAAATAAAGAATGACAAATCTAATTTCTTTTGATTATAGTTCAAGGGTGATAATAAACTTTGTAAAATAAAACAGATATTTTGGAGTTTTTTTTTTAATGTTTTTTCCAGTACGTTCTCTCGAATTATTATTTGTTTATTTATTTGATCCTTGTAATAATAATTGATTGGTTTATTACTGAAATTCTATTCTCACAATATGAAAATGAAATGTTTCTTATTTCTTCGGAAATCCCTTTCATTAGTTGTAATATACATCCCGATGTCAATGTCTGCTGAATTGATCGTTCCGTCAATGTCCGTATATTTATCTTTATCTAATTTTATCCAATCTCCTCTTTTTAGAGTTGGTAAATGTTTGGTACCATGGAATCTATGAAAATTATTTCGCCATTCTGGTTTTTTGCCAGTTTATCTCTCTCCTCCTGATTTGTATGAAATCAGGCTATTTCGATAATGACTATTTAGGATGTAAAGGTACTGTGGTACTTATTTTCTTTTCTAGAATTAATTCAGCGGGATTGTCACCTACGGCATGAAACAGGATAATCCGTTTTACTATTAATGCTTGAAATGTGTCTGATTGTTCCAAAATTCGTATAGCTATTTTAACAGTGCTTTTCGCTTCTCCATTTGCTTTAATATAATTTAAACATGTATGTTAAGTGTTTATATCCATAAATATCTGCAAAATCTTTGAAAGCATAACTTGAGAATTATTTCCCATTTTGACTGACAAATTCAATAGGAATTCCCCAACGTGAGAAGAAATTTTTCAATATCTCTATTTCGCATTTCCTTGTCATTTGATTAAGCTTTGCTATTTCTATATATCTTGAGAAATAACCTATTGCCCTCACTATGTTGGTGTCTTTGATGTCTGTAATTGTCTGTACCAATTCTTTTCCATGACACCTTGAGGAAGCAGTGTTACTTACAATTTTACATTTTATTTGTTCGACGATGTATCTTACAAAACGAGCAGTTTTTTTTTTATATACTCCTTCAACTCTTGAGATATTTTAGGCCAGAACACTGATTCTTTGTTGCTCTCTCGGGATTTTTTTTTGTCCCAAGCGGCCATTATGAAGTCCCCTTAATATTGCTGGTCTAATTATTTTTAGGTATGACGATTTTGACCTAAAACTATAGTAAATTCATTTCAATTTAGAATCTATGACCTTAGGCATTCTTTTAGCTTTTCTTCTTCTTGTGTCCATCCAATAAGTGTGAGATTATATTATTTCCTGTAAAACAATGACCTGCTGAGTAGACACTTTTATTTCATTTATTTTCCTATCCGATGCTGATCTGTTTCTTGCCACGCAGTCTGTGTATACACCTACATCTTTGCTGGTATTACTATCAGCGTCGAATAAAGGACATCTTGATAGTGTATCAGGTACAACTAGTGTCATCCTTGAAATGTGTTCTGCTACTGTGTTATATCTTCTCAGTCTCATCAAGAGCCTTTGACATCGTAATGGGGTATTATACAGATCATGTGTGTTTATTAACAGTATAAGTGGTTTATGGACCGTTAACAGAATAAAGGATTCGAGTCTTCTGGCATATTTGTCAAACTTCTCAAATGCACATACAAGGCTCAAACATTCTTAATTTGTCCCTATTTCCTTTCAGCGCTAGTGACTGTGCATGAGACAAATGCTATTATTTTTAGATTACCTTCCATTTCTATTAAAGCGTCTCTAAGACCATAATTGCTAGTATCAACACTAACTACTGCAAGTCTGGTTGGATCATAGTAAGATGGAATTGGTGCCTTATTTAGTAATTGCTTTATTCTTTTAAATGGATATTTGTGGGTAATCCTACACAGATACAATGCCCTTTTCAATAGATCTGTCAAATTTAGGTGCAGGCAAATAGTCAAAGGCTTTTAGCCTTTCCTTGCTGGGTTAAAGTACGTCTCCAGAAATTATGTGTCTAAAATATTCTAGTCGTGTCTTTCTTAATTCAAAGTCTTCTTTATTAATCTTGAGTCTGACATTTTTTAATGTTTTAAAATTTTTTTTATAGTCTTTACTCGTGTTCTTCTATAGTTCTACCATAGGTTAGAACATCGTCGATAAATGTTTCGACTCCTTGAATATTTTTCAATAATTCTGATACATTCTTTGAAAGATTCCCGGAGATGATGATATACAAAACAGTAATCTTTCGAAAGATTATCTTCCAAACGGAGTTAAGAAAGGCATGAGTAGAGAGCTTGGTTTGATAGAATCAGCTAGTAGCGCCCAAATTAAAAAAATATCCCTTCATTTAATTTGGGCGAAATAACATCTAAACGTCGTAACATGTAATGTTCCCTTTTTACTGATAGATTCACCTTATTCATATCTACACGTATTCGGACTTTTACGTTTCTTTTTCTAATGGTTACAATAGGCGCACACCAATCTGTAACCTTTTCAGTAATTCCCAGGTTTTCTACTCTCTTCATTTCTTCCTTCACCTTTTCTAAAAATAGGCAATGGGACTCCTCTAGATGTTGTTACACTGTAAGTTGAAACGTCTTTTTTCCAGAACTATTTTCACTGTGTCTCTTTTCATACAATCTCCGGCGGCAAATGAAATTCCCTGTTCTGATTTGTTTAAACATTTCACTAAATTTATTTTTACAGACATTTCACTAGACAAATGTCCTATCTTTACACGTTCAGTGACATACATCTCCAAATAATAATTGTCCTTACCTTTTTTTGTAAAGGTATTACATTTTGAAATGCATTAGACTATTCCTCCATTATTTGTGAAGATGCCATTTACTCGTTTTAATGTCAGTTTTTTCTTCTGTCAGAGTGTTGTAAGTTTCGCTTGAAATAATGTTTATATCGACGCCTGTATCAATTTTAAGTTTCACCGCTCTTTTACAATATTTAAAAAAAAATTATACCACGGGTCATTTAAATTTGTTTCTGCCAGCTCTCCTCGGAAATATTTCTTTTCTTTATTTCCTGTCCGTATCGTATTGGTTTAGTTCTGCTGGCTACAGTGAATTGATTTATTTTCCCGCATTTATTGCAAGGTTTCCCTTTTGTCGAACAGTTTTTAAAATCATGTATTTTATTACATCTACAGGAATTACTGTTCTTCTTTTTGCTGAGTCCTCGTGTTCTTTCAAATTTTAGACATCGTATGTTATTCTAGTGGACCGGTATGGGTTTGAGTAATGTTAAATTAGAAACACGTGCGTTATTTTCCTGCAAGAACGTCCAACTACAGGAAAAAATGGCGGACTCTAGTTGTGTCCAACCGAAAATAAAAAGCAAACAATAAAGACCGATATATATATATATATATATATATATATATATATATATATATATATATATATATATGTCAACAAATATGTATTTAACAATACAATATTACAATGGATATAGACATTAACATTTGCGTGTGTGTGAACATTTGTGTTTGTTCTTTGGTGAATGTTCGTACGTACGTGTATGTGTGCATAATGTCTTCCCTCAAGTGGAAAACGCTATCTTTTTTGCGAGAGCTCACATTGTAGAGGTGTTCACTGAAATAAAGAAATGAAAAAGAGAACAAGGCAAGAAGTTGCCCACTAGTTATAGTGTAGGGAGAGAGAGACTCCTAGTGAAAAATTAGGGAATTAAGGAGGAGGTAACTCCGACATTATATTTGGGTCTTTAGTTCGTCTACATTTTTCTCATTCATTTCTTCCATTTGAGATTTTCTTTGCTTACTGCTCCTGGCAATCTCCGTAGCTTTCTTGAGATTCAAATCAGGAATTAATTGTAATCTTTCGGATAAGTATTTATTTTGTAGTCTTATCACAAGATAAATAGGGATTTTCACTTGTTCTCCTGGTAACTGAAGATAAGATGTTGCCCTTTCATGAATTATAATTCTTTTAGTTATGAAGTAGGCAATGAATTTTAAAAAAAAATGAGTCGTACACATTTGCTTCTACTCGTCGTGAAAAAAAACAAAAAACTCCAGGAATATAATTATGGGTTCGCTTCCGATGCAATATATTAATTTACTTATTTGGGTTCTGTTAGTTTCTTTCCAGATTGTCGATGCTTCTCGAAAGCATTGACATCTATCTTTGTGACAATTTCGGCCAAATTTCTGGGTTTGTAAAGTCTGGTGTAATTAATTTCAACAGTTATTTTTTTCTTTTTTCCCGAATATGGGTTCTGATCATCGAGAAAGAATTACTCTCTGACAACATATTCCGCTGGACTTAGAATATATATATATATATATATATATATATATATATATATATATATATATATACATACTTATATACATACAAACATATATATATATATATATATATATATATATATATATATATATATATATATATATATACATACATATATATATATATATAAATATACTCTACATACATATATATATACAATATATATATATATATATATATATATATTACATACATATATATATCAATATATATATATATAAATATATATCTTACATACATATATATATAAATATATATATACACTTACATACATACATATATATATAAAATATATATATAAAACTTACTTACATATATATATATATATATATACACATATACATATATACATATAGATATATAAGTGTATATATATATACACTTACATACATATATATATAAAAATATAGATATATACACTTACATACATATATATATATATATAAATATATATATATATATATATATATATACATACATATATATATATACATTTACATACATATGTATATACACTTACATACATATATATATACACTTACATACATATATATATACACATACATATATATATATATATATATATATATATATATATATACATATATATATATATATATATATATATATATATATATATATATATATATATATATATATATATATATATATATATATATATAAAGAAATGTAGTGTTAAGGTATGCTATATTTATGGAATAAAGTGCTCAATATCAGAGATAGAGCGTGTAAATATATAAAAGTGAACATAGAAGTCAACACTTAGAGGCGACAGTCTGTTTCATGCTATATGCAATCGTCATGCCACATATGCTGTTATTTTTCTCGGCTATTTATATATATACGGGTTTGTGGTGCATTGTGGATATATATATATATATATATATATATATATATATATATATATATATATATATATATATGAATGTTTTATTAAATAATATAGACAAGTTGTGTCTATTTATTTTAAGCAAAATTCTTTCATAACGTCTGATAAGCTTAATAACATTATCATTGAAAGACGTTACATTCGTAATCCTTTCTAATCTTTCGGCTTATAAAAGCCACACTCAACATGGTGATTTTCTTTCGTCTTTCAGTGATAATGTTTTTAATCTTATCAGACGTTATGAATGGACTTTGCTTAAAATAGACAAAGCATGTCTATATTATTTAATGAAACATGTATCAATGAAAAAAATGCTGCCTAAATATATATACACACACATATATATATATGTGTGTGCGTGTAGATATAGATAATATTAGTGGTCAATATATATATATATATATATATATATATATATATATATATATATATATATATATATATATATATATATATATTTCCCAAGGGATGGAATCCAGGTAGAAGTCAGTGTCTGGGACAAAGTAAGAATATAATATGAAAGGCTCAAATACTAATATTTTATGAATATAATTTATTACATTGGAATCTTAATCACGATACAATTCATGAGACCTACAAATTCAAAAATATTTTTTTGAATTTGTACGTCTGATGAATTGGATCGTAATTAAGATTCCAATGTAATAAATTATAACCATGGAAAAAAACAAAAGTAACAAATACAAAAATGTCTTTCATCTTTTTCTACATATCTCACTATCCGGGGAAACTTTAATAAAATTGAAACATATTGATTCATTTGTCTGTTTAACGGCATGTAACGCCCTATGTGTTGTTTAATGCGGAAATTTACTTTTGTTGGGAGCTTGGAATTAATAAATATATGTACTATTTTGCTTTTGCAATTGAATAGATGGTACATTGTACCCAGCTGACGTGCTATAGCATTTAGCTACAGAGGAAGCGGCTGCTTAGAAGTGTTAGATTTTTATTTTTAAACTCTTTTCAAAGTCATGTATGAGTTTAAGCCACAAAGGTTCTGAAGGGGTGGAGCTTCCCCTAGGGGAAACCGTTTCACCATGACTGGCTGTAGTTCGATATTTGGTAATTGAATGTATCTAATCATTGAATATATATATATATATATATATATCATGAGACAGAAAATGTCGAGGCAACACAGAGGACACGACACGTGGTAAACTTAACAACTCATTTATTTAATCTGCCTGTTGGATCCTTCTTGATAACAGAATTCGCTAGTGTGACCGGAAGTCCATACAAGCATCCTCATCAATATTATTGATGTTGCTATAACAAGCACACTGAATGTCACCTCTAAGAAGACAGAATGCATGATTATCAGAAAAAGGATGAGCCCAAAATGCAAATTATAACTTAACTCTACTGAAATATGCTGAGTATTCCATGGACCGGACATTTGTACAACGATGAGGTTTTAGAGAAAACGGAAACTGTTATGGTCTGGTTCCTTGTACCACGGTGATAGTCCAAGGTAGAACCAATAAAGAAGAACTCGAACACAGGTATGGAATAACACAGATATATTACAAACAGGAATATATACAGAGAAGTAGAAAGTGTTCGTACGAACAATCAGGTTTAGTAGTAATTTTCTGAACGCGACTCTGTTTCGGTCTACCTCTGACTTGACTGACTGACTCGCTCGCTCTGACTGACAGACTCCTGACGGACTTCACCCTAGACTTCAGACTGAACTCACTGCTTCCTCTGGAGGCGCAGTATTTATTACGTATGGCATAGTCCATAATGTTATTATGGGTAATGTTCCATAACTGAAACAAAAAGGGATCTTATACGCAACATATCTATTTAGCTTCGAGTAACATTGTCCTCTGTAAGAAAATATTTCTTCATTCATTGGAATAGAAAACGATAGGAATAACACAGCAATCCAGTCACTTAATATTTTGCTTTGTTTCCTGATAGCATCTTTCGCTATTACAATGTACCCTCGGGTATCTCTGTTGCATTTCCTTTCACCGCTTACTAAATTACCCACCTACATGATGATCTCTATTTGAGTCTTGGAGACTCGTATAATGACATCGATGCGCAAAGTGAATTAGGCGTGACACGTTCAATTCCCGTTCGGTTTTCTTTCGTTCACTCTCTGCTATCTAGCTTAGAAAAAGCACGGATCTATCGTCCTCTGACAATGTGTTCAATAGCAGCATAGACCGGGCTCTCTTGCCTTGAAGAAGGTAACTGAACTCAACAATAATGAAGAGGGTTATGTTCCGTCAGTCTATCTTGCCTTAGACACCCTCTCCCCGTTGATATAGCTGCATTAAAAATGGGGCCTTTACGATACTAATGGCGCTTACGGACCCATCATACTGAAACATCGGCTTCCATAAGATCACGTTAATCAAGGTCGAGGATGGTCAGTACCTAGAAGTGTGACCACTTGGGAATACCAGGTGATGTAAGTTTATATGTACGGGTCGTATAATGGACAATGGCTTGGAAATTTTAATCAGAGATGCGGGTTCAAATTACTGTCGGATCCGTTATATTCATTTATATGCGTATGCCATGGGGAAAGATATTAATCTATTTCTTCTCTCCAGCTATGTGTTAATTAGTAAGGTTTGTATCTCTAAAGATTTATTGTCTCAGAAAACAATCTTACTAACTAAAAAAAAATATTTTCTGACTTTACATACATATAGAGCAAATGGTTGATAAGCTGATGAAAACGAATTAATCAGTGAACGAAATACTGAATATCTGGACAAACATGTCTTTTAGATGTATTCAGATTCTTTGCAATATCAATGTATTGTACACAAAATGAGGAATCAGTTTATATATTGTTTGTAATATAGAATTGATCTCCCACTTTAATTTCTTGCTAGATTATCAAATTCTGATTAAGTATGAATCCAACTCTTAACCCTCCAGCTATGGGTTAATTAGACTTATATGAATGAACTATTATTATCTAAAAAAAAATCCTTGCAATCTACAAATATCTTCTGGGTTTAGATAAACTTCAATTGTTGGTAAGACGTAGAAAACGATTCTCAATCGATTCTTTTTTTGCTTTTTATGTGTCATGTCCTTTCATGATGTAGGCGATCATAGCTCCCCACCTCTGTCTATCCCTTGAGCTCTCAACAAGTTCCTTCCCTCTGCTACCTCACCAGACCACATTCTGTCAACCACTTTCTTAAGCCCTCTAGGTATATCATGCGTTATTTTCCTTTGTCTCTCTTTCCTTCTCTTCGACCCGTGAGTGTCAGATTCTTCAGACCATCCATCCTCCTTATGTGTCCTAGAAACTTCAGCTGCCAATTAGTGATGTTAAGTATAAGCCTCCTCTTTGTTTGCATCTGGTTCTGATGCAGCCTGTTCGTAGTTCATAGCTTAGTCTGCATCGATTTCAAATGGCCTACCGATTCTATTAACTTGCAATTTATAGTCAGTTATTTCATCGTTACTACGTTGTTTTATAATTCGTTTTCTCAGAATATTAATAAAATTCAAATCCTAACTCGACAGATATTGTCTTCTATTTTTGTTGTTTCCGACTAATTATTTCCGTGAATATTTGAAATTCAAGACAAGTTGTCTGCGACACCTGTGTGCTTGCAATCAGATATTGAAGTGCTTTCCAACTCGCCACAGAAATTAGAGAACAATTGTTGAACTGGGTTGTAGGTTATCTAGTGTAAGTTGTCATCCCTCGTCTCCTCTTCATGTTACGTGCACCTAATTAAAGCATATTTAATGATGTGTATGTGTGTATCGGAAAACCACTAGAGAAGAAGAAATCAGTTATGAGCAACAGTGAAAGCATATATCAACAAAATTACTGTTTTGATATACAATTATATTTATTGTGCTGAGAAATATCAGTCAGTTATTTGCCATGCGTGATACACGCTTAGACGATCATGAATCTTTCAATATATGACTGACGAGGCAGATTTTTTTTCCTCCATAGGATGCCATATATTTCTACGGTAGACCACTTGCCATCCAAGGCTATACAATCCGGTCTGATCTTCTATTTACCCGTAAATGGGGAGGGAGAAGATGATTCATACGTTTCCTAAGGGCATTAACGCCTAAGTGAATGTAATGTATTCGACTGGAATACAAGCCGCTATCTATTACTATTGCTCCACTGTGCCTCCTTCGATGATATCAACTGAGGACCAACAAAATACTTTCAGTATGAGAGCTGTACCACACAACTGATACAGACAAAATAGCCTATTAAGTCTTCTGTTGCGTAAAGCCAATGCCCTGTTTCCAGCGTGCGAAAAGGTAAGATAATATTCCAATGCATACATATCTACAGTTTATTATGGCTAATATGTAAAATGATGTCACTTATTTTTAAATTTTGCGTCTAAAGACTGATCATGGTACTTCTAATATGAGGGAAGGGACAGAGATAATATTCCACAGAGGAATACTGAGAATGGACTGGTCTGAACATGTGAGAAACGAGGAAGGTTTAAGGAAAGTGAGAACGAAAACGAAAAGGAAAATTTCTTCGAAAAATGTTTTGTATTATTTAACGTGCGGAACTGGCAAAAGAAAACAGCGGGTAACATAGGTGAATAAATTGACTGACTTGGTTTTTACCGTTTATCAATCTTTGCAGGTTATTTTAAAGCCAGAAAATGTTTCAAGATTATGAGAATTATTTCGAGATAATAATAATGTACTGATACAAATCTACTAACACACACACACACACACACATATATATATATATATATATATATATATAGCTATCTATCTCTCTCTCTATATATATATCTAGCTAACTATCTCTCTCTCTCTATATATATATATCTGTCTATCTATCTATCTATCTATCTATATATCTGTCTATCTATCTATCTATCTATCTATCTCTCTATATATATATATGTCTATCTATCTGTCTATATATATACATATATATATATATATCTGTCTATCTATCTATCTATCTATCAACATATATATATATATCTATCTATCTATCTATCTATCTCTCTCTCTCTATATATATATATATATATATATATATATATATGCGTCTATCTATCTATCTATCTATCTATATATATATATATATATGTCTGTCTATCTATCTATCTATCTATCTATATATATATATATATATATGTCTATCTATCTATCTATATCTATCTATCTATCTATCTATCTATCTATCTATCTATATATATATATATATATATATATATACGTTACCTGATACCCACATAGACAAACTAGAATTGTTATAGATTTACATATATATAGCAATATTTACGGTTTTTCAGGTATGTGTTGTTTAATGCGAAAATTTACTTTTGTTGGGAGCTTGGAATTAATAAATATATGTACTATTTTGCTTTTGCAATTGAATAGATGGTACATTGTACCCAGCTGACGTGCTATACCATTTAGCTACAGAGGAAGTGGCTGCTTAGAAGTGTTATTTTTTTTTTTTTTTTAAACTCTTTTCAAAGTCATGTATGAGTTTAAGCCACAAAGATTCTGAAGGGGTGGAGCTTCCCCTTGGGGAAACCGCTTCACCATGACTGGCTGTAGTTCGATATTTTGTAATTGAATGTATCTAGTCATTGAATATATATATATATATATATATATATATATATATATATATATATATATATATAAAAATGACTAAGTCCGACAATTATTTTAATATATTTATTATTTATACGCTTTTTTTGTAGTGACAAATATTTAAGTAAATGTTCTGTTTATAATAAGCAGTATTAACAACATTGACTCGCCTGAATTTTTTTTTTTTTTTTTGAGAATTTGTTTACATTAAATAAGCTTCGAGCGGATATAAGACTTCGAAAGAAATCATGGGAAATTTGTAGTTCAAAAGCAGTAATTCGACCTTGCTAAACAGACGCTTTCTCCGTAGCTAAATGTTATAACACGTCAAGATATATATATATATATACATATATATATACATATTCAAATTTTTATGTACAGCTCTCAAGTTATATGTTAGAATGCCACACAGCCGTATAAATTAGTGTAATTATTTATAATACAAACAAATATAAGTAGAAATTCATGTTTCTTTAAGATAAATATATCTGGAAAATTATTCTCAACGTCAGCATTTTAATTGCCATTTTATTGTGAAAACTTGGACTTGCGTGATAAAAATTTAAAATACTGCTCTAATTTAAGGGTAGATTTGTTAATTAATACCAATTGAAAATCGAGTCCCCCATTTTATGTCCAGTACAAACTTGTATTAATATTTAATGTAAGCTGTCTCAATTTTTCCCAGCATCATTTGCTTAATACTAATTTAATTGTGAAGACATTAACTTGGATAATAAGATGTGGAAATGGTATCGTAACTCCAGGATAGCTTAATTAATTTCTTAATAACAACAGATCACATACTTTATATACTATATAAACTTATATTCAATGGAAATATATCTTGAAAAGTTTCCCAGGTTCGGCTGGTTCATATCAATTTTATTGTGAAAATATTGACTGGTATAATATGATCTGACAGGGTAAAACGAAACGGCAATTGAATTCCAAGTGCAGTACGTCATGAAACATTCATCATGCGACTTCTATCTTTAGAATAGTTGGCGCATCTGAACGTTTGGTGCGGCTGACGTACTCTCCTCAGAGTCAGTACCCGGATGTAGGCGGAAAGACATGTTTTCGCTTAATAGGTTAAGCTTCGCCAGTATAAATATTGCATCGAGTGATTGATATAGATTACTTATAAATAAACGAACACTTAATCTGAACATCTATTAAGGGTAATGTCGCACGTACGTAATTACACACACACACTACGTACACATACGTGTGTGTGTGTGTGTGTAGAGGGAGAAAGAACTAGTTTCTTCTTTCGACGCTTGCTTCCCTAATTAAACTAAAGTTATATTTTATGGCGGACTACATTGACCTTCATATGTTTGTCGTCTGTTATTATTGATTCAGGCTGTGTATCTTTCTACCTGTTTCTTCATTTGAAAGAGTTTACTTCGCTGAATGGTTTATTAATCGATTTCTTTCTTTCTTTCCTTTTTTTTCTTTTTATTTGTTTAATATTTATTTATTTATTTGACGATGGAGCCACTATGGCAGTATTTTTTTCTCTTTTTCTCGTTTCGCATTCAATATTTTGTTCTTCGGATTACTGATTTATTATTTCTAGTTCGTTTTTTCTTTTTTTTTTTTTTTCAAACGATGATTACACTTTCTTACTGTCTCTTCTTTGTGCTTTCTTTCCTTCCTCTTTTCTATTTAGCATTTTTTTCTTCGTTGCTTGCTTTTTTCTTTAGTTTTTCTTCTTTTTACTACTACAGTGAAAGTTCTTTTTACTATCATTATTGTACTTTCTTTGTATTACTTTCAATAGTTCATTCGGTTGACATTTATTGACTTTCAATCTATCTATCTATCTGTCTGTCTGTCTATCTATCTATCTATCTATCTATCTATCTAACTCTCTCTCTCTCTCTCTATATATATATATATATATATATATATATATATATATATATATAAATCCTCATTTATCTAATTTTGTCTCTCCCTCAATATATATATATATATATATATATATATATATATATATATATATGTATCTTTCACCTTGTGGCACATAGTGCACTAGGTCTCTGTATTCAGCCCTTCAAAAGTGTGGATGGTCCTGCACGAAACCTTCACCACTATAATCAAATCTCATGTGCTGTTGTCGGGCTGTTGGTTTCCTAGGAACTGATCTGCTTGACTCTCATACGTCGAATTCGACAGGAGAGTCAATATATATATATATATATATATATATATATATATATATATATATATATATATATATATATATCAGTCTGATACTGTCTAACTATCCTTCTATCTGTCTATTATTTCTAAAATAATAATTCGTTCTTTATCAAACTACGTCACTCTGCTTCTATCTATCGATCTATCTATCTATCTATCTATCTGAGTGACAGTTGTGGAGTATTTTTCACATCTGTTGCAAGCTCTCAAATAGGTAGTGAATCTTTTAAGGTATGTATTCCAAAACTGACTGCCTCATTTGCATTGCCATTCAGCTATCGTCACAGCTTCGGAATGCTGCATGAATTTCTTTTCATTTTTTTCGTGTAGCTAACTGATTTAAATTAGTGGAATAACCCACGAGCCTGCGTAGTGGAATACGACATTTCCGGGACACTCACATCCTTTCAATCTTACGTTGCTTTGTTACTGACCCAAAATTCTGGGCAATACCTTCAATGTGCATGAATCGTAAGTTCTTCTCTCGGTGTTTTATTCAATTTGTCAGACGACCGAGTAAAGTAATCTGATCCCTCTCGCCAGCGTAATGTATTACGAGAAGACCAATCAGTGCAAGAAGTAAACATTCATTATGATCCCAGTCACTGTGTAATGGTGAGGAAGCTTGTCGCTATAGATCACCTACGACTGAATAGTGAGTTCCATCTTCACAGATTTACTCCATACTGTCAACCTTGTGCTACGTCTAAGCTAAACTTAGAAAATCCCCATAAACTTAGGGAAGCATATAATGAAAAAAAAAGTAACCTATACACAGCGGTTTCTGATAAAACGTCTTTTTAAAGAGATAATTCATAGCACCGTTCTTCCCACATAGCCATTAATTTAAAACAAATGCAAAATTCATTCATTGGTTATTCATTCAAAAGTAAAATTAAATGTTGCACCTTTGTTTATTAATTTGAATCAACTTCCTTTTAGTTTAACTTTTAGTTCTCTCTCTCCCTCTCTCGCTTTCTTTCTCTCTCTCATATATATATATATATATATATATATATATATATATATACAGAATCCCTTGATTAGTGAGGCTAATCGGTACATCAAATATAGGTACTAACTGAAAACGCAATAGTCTAATATAAACAAAATAGTCAAACAAAATATTTACCCATTTTAAATTGTATAAAATCTTTAATTAATAGGTAGCTATTAAAAAAATCAATTTTTAATGATTATGATTAAACTGGAGAATGTTTTGCAGAATTACTTCGAACATTATTCATAAACTAATCGAATTTTAGTATTAAAAATCAGCGTAGACATCGGAAACGCATTAATCGAGGGTTCATGAATATA